TTCATGTGGTACCATTGAGATTTTGTTTCTTTTTCTTTTTAAGGTTTATTTTTATCCAAGAGGCCAATTTACAGCCGGAAAAGGAAGACGTGGAGGGCTCCCACCTACTTGTTCACTCCCCAAATGGCCACAGGGCTGGAGCGGAGCCAAACTGAAGCCAGGCGCTTTTTCCATGTCTCCCAGGTGGGTGCGGGATCCCAGGGAGTGAAGCCATCTTTCATGGCTTTTCCAGGTCACAGGAGCAGGGCTGGTTGGGAAATGTAGCAGCCAGACATGAACCGGCACCCATATGCGATTCCAGCATCACAGACTTATCCTATAAGCCACCATACTGGCCCCTCCGTACAGCTTTCCTGCACAAGATTCTATAGATAATGAGCCTCTGGGTAGGGTGCGTGTTCACCCTTCCGATGTCTATTTACCTCATATCAAATACACTCCTCCTGCTTCACCATTTTTGTTCCCTCAAGCTGTCATCCCCTCCCCCACCCTTGTAAGAGCTGTTCCTAGGTTTACCGCCCTGGAACCCTAGTGATAGCCTCTTCTGTTGTTGAAGGCATCTTCCCAAAGGCTAGGGATGTGCCAAGCTGAAGCCAGGAGCCAGGAACTCCATCTGGGTCTTTTGTGGGGTACGTGGATTTGCTTTCCCAGACACAGCAGCTGGGAGCTCTATACTAAATGGAGCAGCTGGTGCTCGAACTGTTGCTGCAGAATGGGATGCTGGTGTCACAGGCATTGGCTTAACCTGCGGCACCACGGCACTGGCCTGCAGTTTGGGTACAGGTGTATCACAGGAACAGGCGTATGTGTCCACCACCATGGACTAGTTCCATCCGTACAAGGATCCCTCCGTGTTGCCCTTTCATCACCACATCCTCCCTGCCCCAGTACCTGCTAATCTAACCTGTATTTCAGAACTATCCTGTAAGTAGAGTCATATAAGAGTTCCAATCGGTGGGACTTTCTGCAGACGCCTCCACGTTGTTGCACACACCAATAGTCTGTTCTCTTTCTTTTCTTTTAAGATTTTTTTGTTTGTTTATTTACATTGGAAAGACAGATTTACAAGAGACAGAGAGGAAATCTATCTTCTGGTTCACTTCCCAGATGGCTACAGTGACCAGAGCCGTGTTTATCTGAAGCTAGGAGCCTCCTCGGGGTCTCCCACATGGGCTCAGGGAGCCAAGGCTTTGGCCATCCTCTGCTGTTTTCCCAGGCCACAAGCAGGGAGCTGGATGGGAAGAGGAGCAGCCAGGGGATGAACCAGTTCCGGTATGGGATGCCCGTGCTTGGAGGCGGAGGACTAGCCAGTTGATCTGATACCAGCCCCAGTTTGTTTTCTTTCATCGCTCAGGGGTACATAGTGTGGCTGGGTAACCATTCTCCTGTTGGAGGACTTGAGCTCCTAGTTTGCGGTCGTTCAGATAAAGCTTTCACGAGCACACAGGCATTTATGGGAACAGAAGTCTTGGTTTCTGTGGCACACTTAGGAGAACAGTTTCTGGGTCATCTCTTTGTTGCATGTTTAGTTTTCTAAGAAACCGCCAAACTTTTCCAGAGGGAACTATGTTATTATCTTTCAAAGCCTGGTGAGCTTGTTTGTATGAGTAAGGGAAAACTTAGATCACAGGGGTCAGGGCCTAAAGAGCAGGGTGGTGAGGGGCTCCCTGGCTCCGGTGGAGGAATTGGCTGGGGTTTGCTGGCGCCAGCTCACATCTCAGACCCCAGAAGCAATGAGATCCAGGAGGGGGAGATGCAGATGGGGTTGTGGAAGGAATACGAGGGTTCGCCTTTGTTTCTGTTTCCTCAGGACCATCAAAGGCCAGACCATCAGCTAGGATGGAAGGGGTACAGGCTGTCCAGAGAGACCAATGTTAAAGGTCTTGTTAAGAGAATGGGAATGTAGGGTCTGGCATGGTGGTCTAGCAGCTAAAGTTCTTGCCTTGAACATGCCAGCATCCCATACGGGCACTGGTTCTAATTCTGGCAGCTCCACTTCTCATCTAGCTCCCTGCTTGTGGCCTGGGAAAGCAGTCTAGGACGGCCCAAAGCCTTGGGACCTTGCACCCGCGTGGGAGACCTGAAGGAAGTTCCTGGCTGCTGGCTTCGGATCGGCTCAGTTCTGGCTGTTGTGCTCACTTGGGAAGTGAACCATCGGACAGAAGATCTTTTTTGGCCGCAATAGCCAGAACTTAGCTGACCCGAAGCCAGGAGCCAGGAATTTATTCCAAGTCTCCCACATGGATGTGGGGTTCCAAGGCTTTGGGCCATCCTTTGCTGCTTCCAAGGCCATAATCTGGGAGCTGGAAGGGAAGTGGAACAGCTGGGATGCAAACCAGCACCCTTTGAGATGCCAGTGCTTGAAGGTGGAGTGCAGGATCAGCCAATTGAACTATTGAACTTGGCAGGGTGTTTTAAAATTTGTATTACTTAATTAGGAAGAGAAATCAAGATCTTCCTTCTAATCACTGAATTACTCCCCAGATGCTCTCAGTGGGTGGGACTGGAGTTGGCTGAAGACAGGAGTATTAGCAAAGGAGTGAGTGACAAGGACTCAGGCCTGGAGCCATTGTGTGCTGTCGGTCAGGGTGTGCACCTGCTGGAAGCTGAACTAGAGGCCGTAAGGAGACTTGATGCCAAGCTCTCAGGTTCAACCTTCATCTTGCAGTGCTGGCATCCCTTATGGGCACCGGCTTGTGTCCTGGCTGCTCTACTTCTGATCCGTCTTCTTGCTTGTGGACTGGGAAAGCAGCAGAGGATGGCTCAAGTGCTTGGGCTTCTGCACATGCGTGGGAGACTCAGAAGAAGTTCCTGGCTTTGAGCCAGCTCAGCTTGAGCTGTTGGAGCCATTTGGGGAGTGAACCAGCAGATGGAAGCTCTCTCTCTGTCACTCTGTGCTTGAAAAAACAAAATCCAAAGAGTACATCTCTGAGGTTCAGTGTTCTTCATCTGAAATATAGGTTGGGGCTGCGTGAAAACTGTTGCTTTAGTACAATGCCCAACAAGTGGTTGCTGTGACTTAGAAAGTTCTCAGCATTGCTAATTGATGGAAAGAGAGCTATCGCAGCTGTCTTGGAGGATTGCCCTTGTTTTCTGGGGCTCCAAGATGGGTTCGGTCAGGGCTGGCTTTGTCCTGTTGTGTTGTAGAATGCTCCTGGCTTTTTTTTTTTTTTTTAAGAAGATTTACTTTTATTGCAAAGTTAGACATACAGAGAGAAGAAGAGACAGAAAGGAAGATCATCCATCCGATGATTCACTCCCCAAGTGACTGCAACAGTCAGAGTTGTGCCGATCTGAAGTCAGGAGCCTGGAGCTTCTTCCAGGTCTCCCATCCCAGGCCACAAGCAGGGAGCTGGATGGGAAGCGGAGCCGCCGGGATTAGAACCGGCGTCCATATAGGATCCCGGCGAGTTCAAGGTGAGGACTTTAGCCGCTAGGCCACTGTGCCGGGCCCTACTCCTGGCTTTGAACTTGAAAGAGGAGCCAGGAATAGTTAAGGGTAGAAGAGAAGCTGGAGAATCTTTTAAAAGTTTTTTTTTTTTTTAAATTGATTTGAAAGGCAGAGAAAGATACACATAAACATAGGCATGCATCCTTCTCACCTCCACATCGCCCTGGGAGAAATCTTGCCATTAATTCCCCAGCAACAGTTGGGGTTAAGGCTGGAAATCAGGAGGCTGGAACTCAGTGTGGGTCTCCCCGCTGGGGAAGGAGGAGTGGGCAGTCAAGTTGTGAGCCATCACTGCTGCCTCCCAGGATGTGTTAGCAGGGAGATGGATTAGAAGCTGAGCCGCAGGACACAGCAAACCCAACGCTGAGCTGGGATGTGGGCCGCTGGTGCTGTCAATGTCGATGGTCCCTCCCAAGCTAGGGGGAATTATTATGATGATTATTATTCTGCAAAAGCTTTTATTTGGCAGCTCTGACCCTCCCTGAAGCAGTGTCCTGAGAAGGTCCGGAATGAGAGGCCGCAGTGACTGGCCCTCTGGAGCTGCCCTGCTTCCCTGGGGCCTTCGCTGGGGCCTCCGACAGAACTGCCACTCACTTCCTATTGTGACAGTTTCTCTGTGTGTGGCTCCCTCTGACGGGACTGAATGCTCACACGTGCCCCAAGCACATAGTGGGTCTTTGCTCAGTTAACTCTTGTGAAGTAAACGAGTGGATGTGGCTTGAGGGGGCGGTGGATTGCCGATCCGGGATAATGTGCTCTCTCCCCACGGCAGCCTGGAGTGACTACACAGGGAATGGAGGTTGTAGGATCCAAGTGCGGGACCTGAGAGGTCGGGGCGCTCGGCACCGTGAATTTTTAGCACTCATCTGTACTAGGGGCCAGCAGAGGTAGCAAATGGAAAGGATTGGGAAATCGGACCCTTGCGTGAGGGGTGGCAGCACCCTCCACCGGGACTGTGAAGAAGTCGATGAGGTGACACCCACACAGATAGCCACCTGAGCCGCGAGCCTTGGGGTGACCACTGGCCTGGGATATGTCTGCGAGACGCAGAGACCTGGCCGAGGTAACCGAGATCTGTGGGCCTGGATTCGGGATAGGGCTGAGAGGCGTGGGGTCCTCTCAGATTTCCGATTTAGTCTTGTTCCATCAGACACTCCTCCAAGAAGCCACAAACGGCGTAGCCCTGCTCGGGGACGAGCACTAGGCTATAGTCAATCCTCAGAAAACTCTCCATGAAACATAACGCCTGTTTTGAGCCTCGCTATGGCCAGCACCGACGTGAGCACGGCCTCTAGCACGGCCGCCCCACAAAGGCTGCCCTTCATCCCCACACCCCCGCCCCCACCCGACCCCGCCGGCCTCCTCCCGGTGCGCCTGCGCGGACGCGGGGCGGGGCTTGGCCCTTTGTTGTGGGCCCCAGTTTCCCAGGACACCGCGCGGCTCTTGGGTGGGGCTATGCAGATGAGGCCCTCGGGGGCGGGGCGGTTGCGGCGGCTGCGGCGGCCGGGGAGGGTCAGTTGGAGGCAGGCACTCGCTGAGGCAGGAGGAGGGCGCTCGGCCCGCGGCCTGACAGGGACTTATCCTGCAGAGATCGGCCCCGCGCGCGCGACCCACACCCACCCACTCATCCACCTACCCACTCCCTGCGCCGCCTCCTCCCACCCTGAGCAGAGCCGCCGAGGATGATAAACACCCAGGACAGGTAACGGCCCGGCCCTGGCTCCCCGCCCCCACCCTCCACCCCCTGTGGCTACAGCGGGCCTCCCCCGACGTCCAGCCGGCCCTGGCCGCCATCCTGGGGGGCCCGTCCCGCCCGCGGCACGGGTCCCCTTTCCCCACTTGAGCCAGCTCAGTCCGAACGTCAACCCCGCCACCGGGCCTCCTTCCGTCCTTTACCCCCCTCCCTCCAGCAGGGCCCATTCCCCCCCTTCTTGGCCTTCCCTGTCCCCTAAAGCCCCCTCCCACCCAAGACCGAACTCGACCTTCCATTCGGTCCCCCCCCCCAGCTTCAACCCCGCCGAACGGAGGCTCGCTCATTTCCCCAAATTGGGCTTCCTCCCGCGTCCAGATCCCCCAAATTCTTATTTTTCCCAGATCTTTCTTCATCTCCCTGGCCGTGCATCCCCTCCTGAGCAGCGCTCCCCCAGGCTGGCTGCCCCCTCCCCCCGCAGCCTGCATCCCCCAGCTCTCCCCTCCCCCACTCTCCTGGGCCCTAATGCTCTTTCCAGCCAGGCCAGGCCCTCGCCTCGTCCTTCCCCCGCCGGCACCCCTCTCCCATTTTCCCTGGCTCCCGACGTCATTCCGTCATTTCTTTATTTCTTTCTCAAACTTTGGACTTGATTCTTGTCCTCCTCCACATGTCCCCCCACCTCCAAAACTTCCTCAGATCTGGAACTCATCTTTCCCCTCCCCTTCTCATCTTGACTGACACCCCCTCCCCACCTTGGGGTCTTCAGGTGAAGTCCGCATCCCCCTCCCCAGCGAAGGCCCGGGGGCTGTCCTGCCTTTGCACATCAGGCCCTCTGGTTTGGGCCTTTGCTGGTTTCCTCTCCCGAACCCTGGCAGCTCTCCTGGGGAGAGCGAGGCAGCCCCGCTCTCCCGGCCTGCTCCAGGCAGGCTTCATGGCCCCTTGTGTGGTCCTTCCTGCCCAACTGTATCACACACACCCCTCAGGGCGCCCCCAGACACTCTTGGTGAATTGTCCCATCCTCTCCTGGTCTCCACTCTCTCACGTCTCAGACATCACAGTAGTTCTCATTTGCTTGGCTTCATTCCTTCGTCCCCCCCAGACTGGCATCTGCCCCCTCCCAGTTCTGAGCTGAAGATCTTGAGGTCTCCCCTCCCAGAGAATGCTGTCCCTCCACGCGGCCCTTGCACTTCACTTGGGTCCTCTGATTTGCCTGCAGATCCGTTTGCTGTAAATCTTAGATTGTGTTGTGCTTTATCCAAAAAACAGCCTCGAGTTTCTCTAAGCCACTCGGCCTTTCTTCCAGCTTCTTGGCCAGTGCTCCTTTCTCACTGTACTGGGCTTTAACTTTGTGTTTCCCGCTGGTTTAATTGCACACCCTTCCACATCGCTGCTGGCTTCTCAGCTTTTTTTCCAACTCCTCCCCCCCACCTGTGTTTCCTCGCTCTGGCTGCACACCCATTTGAACCTGGGCAGCCCCTTTGCAGATAGAGCGAGCCAGGTGGAAACGTGAACATTTCTTCTCGAAGCTCCCGGGGTAACTTGGCTCTGCAGCCAGGACTGACACCCTGGGCTCTCTGGTCCACAGGCCCCAGTCTGTCCCCTCCTTTTCCTCTGGTGAAGACAGTTCTGTGCTGACAAGGGCCTCATCTCCAGCATGGGTATCTTAACCCTTTGCTCTTAGGTACCACGTGCAAGTCATCCAACTTGCTGGACTCTGCCTGTAGTTCACTCTGTTCTTGGCCATTAGCCATTTTTTTTTTTCTTTCAATTCTCAGATTCCTGTGTTGTCCCTCTGCTTCCATTTCTTGCCAACACACAGAAAGCAAGTTTACCCATTTTCAGGGCTAGTGTCCATTCTGGTCCATCGACTTTTTCCTTCGGTTTCATTCTGCCCTTAAGTTTCCCTTTTCTGTAGTTCTTCATTTCCACCCACCCTTGCCTGCCCACTTTTATACACTGTCTTTGCTGATTGGGTCCCTCTGGCGCTGAGGAGGTGGAGGTGGGTGTGTGCTTGGATGGGCAGGGATGCTGAAGGTGCCCCTCATGGGGCAGGAGACTGGGAGTGTTGAGGATATAGGGCAGGGGTGGAGGAAAGCTGAGAAGGCCAGAGCAAAATCCACTCAAGGTGGGAGGGTATTCTGTGGGGTGACTGTCTGCAATGGGGGCTTGGAGAACGGGGTTGCGGTCCTTCCCAGAGCCCTCTGGGCCAAGCAGGTCCAGAGTAGGTGCGTGATGGACTCTTTGCAGGCCCAGTGTTGGAAACAACATTGTAAAGGTCTACACTGATGGTGAGGTTGAGCTCTAGTTCTGGCTGCATGCGGGTTGGGTTAGTATGCAGATTTCCTGCCAGCTTCCTAAGGTGGCAAAACAGGCTTGCTGGTCTCCAGGGCCCTCTTGCTTAGTGCCCTGGTAATTTGAGGGGCTTGGCTGTGTCAAAGTCAGGTGGCCGGAGGAGCCAGCCGGGCTGCCAGGGCCCCAGGCAGGAGCCGGCAGGAGGCCCTGGATTAGGCTCCTCACTTTAGCCAGGGGGTGGGGTGGTGTGTGCAGGGTGTCTGTTTCCACAGCGTGTTTCCCAGCCTTCCAGGGGCAGCCTGCTCCTAACTTTCTGAAAGGAATCCCAGTGGAGCCCTGACTAGGGATTCTGATAAGAGCCGGATGTTCTTCTCAGTGTTCTTGGTGTTTAGTATCCGCCGCCAAGCGGGGAGCTGTGCTCCCATTGGGTGGGGGATGGGACTTGCAGCTTCCCCGGCTGCAGTGAGAAACTTGGGAGGCGGAGGCTGGGTTTCCTGGAAGCCATACTCAGCCCAAAGTTTGAAAACAGTGTGTTTTGCAAACAAGGCTCTTCCCTTTTAGTTATTGGGGCTCTAATCAACTGAACTGAACTGTCAAACTCCCTGCTGGTGTGGCCAGGGAGAGGAAGACACCACTACAAACACACTAGCTAGGTCTTTCTTTTTTTTCTTAATGAGATTTTCATCCATGGAATTCAAATTCCATAGCCTTTTTCTACCTGGATTTGTGGGGGTGGGGAGGACAGCCTTGGGTTCACCTTGTGACAGTACGGGATTTAGAGAAGAGCTAGCTCTGGTCCATGGCCACAGTGTAATTGAACAGGATGCTGATGGACTTTGAGGAGAAGCGTTGGGCCCTACAGGTGGGTGTGTTTTGTGACTTGGGGATGTGGTTAGGGTCCAGGTGCACAGCGGAGCCCTCCACCAAATGGTTTCCTGGGAGGTGGCATTTCTGTCTGTCCTGGAGGTTTTGGTAATGATTGGCACTATGGCTTGTGGAGCACGAGGTGGGGAGAGCTGGTTTTCTTGAGATGGAGACAGAGAGAGATTCCTACTATAGTCAGGAATTACCCCAAAATGGAGACATGCCTCAGCAAGCAGTGTGGACTAATAGAAATTTCTAATCCTGCCAAAAAAATTCAAATTTAACCTCAGAACTGCTGAGAAATGCAAGAAAAGGGTTGAGGAGTGAGGTAGAGAGGAATGTTACAAATGTACATTTCTAAAAAATTTAAATGAGTAATGTACCACTTTGTGACTATGGAGTGTCCATTGCAGCCGGCGCCCCGATTTGCAGGGCTGTGCAGCAGATCTGACTGCCGCAGAGCAGAAAGGGCCTAGGTGAGCGGCATTCCTTCCTGGAGGTGAGCGAAACAGGTTGTTTCCTGTTGGGCAGCAGCCGGAACACAAACTGCTCTGTGGAAGATGAGCCTTCAGAACATGTCTGAGGTCTTTAACGGGCATAAACAGTGATGTAATTCTATCTTGGGAAAAGAGGTGGAACTGTATGGTGAGCTTACTTTATAAGCCAGATTGAGTTATTTCAAAAGTAAGATGTCAAGCCACCACTGGGCGCGTTCAGTGGCTGTGGCTTTGACAGCACACGCGCCGTGGCAGCCGTGGGCACACTCTGTGCCTCAGGGACACAGGTCTTTTAGCTACCATTGAAAGTGTGTATCTTGGGAGAATCAACCAAAAATCAGTTTCGCTTTCAGTCTGTGATTCAGAATGGTGATGTCATTTTTTCCTATAATGGTGCTTAGCAATTAGACTCCCTTTGAAACACAAAATAGCGCCAGTGACAAAAATGACTTAGGCCTGGCATGTGCCAGGGCGCCTTTCTCAGATGGAAGGGGACTTGGCACTGAAAATTAGCCTCTACAGCCACACTAGACTGGAGGTGGCCACCACCTCCCACCTCTCTTCCTTTTTCTTTTCACTTTGTGTGATGGTGGCCCCCAGGTGGTCCCCCTGTGCGCAGGCATTGGTCATGACTGACGCCGTTCTCCGTGCGAGGGCAGGGAGAGGGACACCCTGGTGTTGTGTGGAGTCGGGCCCGAGGCATGGATAGGGCAGAAGAGGTTGAAACAGGCAGATGAATACAGAATACTGGGAATGTGGTTTTCGTATCTTTGTATTTGATACCAAAAAGACAGGTGATACCAAGGCCGTCTGACCCTTCCTGGCAGGTGTTGGAAACCAGAGAGAAAGGGTGTGGGCTTGAATGAGCCGAGGAGGCGCTGATTTAAGGGAAACATGATCAAAAGTCTATCAAAGCGAATTGGAAGTCAGCTATTTTGTTAGATGTAGTTAAATGGAAGTTGGGCACGGACGTGCTTTTATATTAAATCCCTACTCTAGTAGGCTGCGCCCTGCTTTAAGCAAAAGAACAAAAAACTTAAAAACAAAGTCAACTGAAAGTGATCCTACAATAGAACTTCTTTTTATTAAGAAATTTATGGTTAATTCTTTTAAAGTTTTATTTATTTGAAAGGCAAAGCAATAGTGAGATCTTCCATCTTCTGGTTCACGCCCCAGGTGTGCGGCAGGGTCTGTCACTTGAGCTGTGAGCTGCTGCCCCGCTTGTGTGCTTGGAAGGCAGCTGGATTAAGTGGAACAGGCAGAGTTTAAACTGGGTACTCCCATAATGGGCATTTTAGCTATTGTACCACAATACCTGTCTTTTCCATTCTCTTATTTATTTTATTTTTTAAAGACTTATTTTTTTTGGAAAGGCAGATATACAAAGTGGAGAAGAGACAGAAACATCTTCTATTTGCTGGTTCATTTCCCAAGTGGCCTCACTGAGGCTGAGCCAATCCGAAGCCAGGAGCCTCTCCTCCGGTCTCCCATGTGGGTGCAGGGTCCCAAGGCCTTGGGCTGTCCTCGGCTGCTTCAACTGCTTTCCCAGGCCACAAGCAGGGAGCTGATTGGGAAGTAGAGCAGCCATGGTACAAACCGGTTCCCATATGTGATCCCGTCACATGTAAGGCAAGGATTTAGCCACTGGGCTACCGCACCAGGCCCCTTCCCATAAATAGGAGACATTTGAAGATAGGATTTGAATGACAAACATTTGCTACAGGGCTGGCATTGTGGTGCAGTGGATTAAACTGGTTACTGTTTATCTGATGTTCCGTCGTATGAGAGTGCTGTTTTGAATCCTGTCTGTTGCCGTCCAGTTCCTTGCTAATGCTCCTTGGAAAAGCAACAGAAGATGGCCCAGGTGCTTGGGCCCCGTCGCACAACATGGGAGACCTGAATGAAATTCTAAGTTCCAGGCTTTGGGCCCTGTCCAGCCCTGGCTCATAGGGCCATTTGTGGAGGAATGAACCAGCAGATGGAAATTCTTTCTTGATCTGTTTGCCTTTCAGATACATTTAAACTCTTTTTTTTCGCACCAGAATTTCCCAGGAATAGACCTGTCAATGCACTCCCTGTCCGTAGCCACTGTGTGGAATGACAACCTGCTAGGGGCGGTTCAGACAGCCGCTTCCTGTCTCTAGGACAGCAGCGTGTGCTGTGCTGGGAGCACTCGCAGATCCGGGGGTGCTCCCTGAAACAGCAGAGAGATGACAGGTGCTAACGGATCTGCACACTCACTCTGCATGCTGAATTCCTGACACCCTGATCTCCAGTGTGGTAAATTTTTTTCTTCTCCCAAAGCAGGTCCAGCCCAGCTGGATGTTCAGGTTCAGTGTGATACATTTGATTCTCCTTAATCAGCCTGAGCTTTTTTAGTTTCTGGATTGGGGCTGAGTTAGGCAGAGTTAGGGAGAGGAGGGAGAGAGATCTTGCATCCGCTGGTCCATTCTTGAAATGTTTGCAACAGCTGGAGCTGAGCAGATTTGAAGCCAGAAGCTTCCTCTGAGTTGCCCATTAGGATGAAGGGTCTTAATGACTTGGACAATCTTCTACTTGCCCAGGCCATAAGCAGAGAGCTGGACTGGAGGTGGAGCAGCCCAGACATGATATGGGAGGGCGGCACCCACAGGCGGAGGCTTAGCCTACCAGGACAGCTCGCCCCCCAAATCATCCTTTTGATAGTGGTGATTAACCATGCCTGCCCATCCACCCCCACTGACCAGGATATGTGCTGAGTGTGAGACCAAATGTGATGTGGATCTTGTGATGAGATGACTGGTACTTAGAAACCAGTGTCTCCTGGGCTTACATTCGCGTAGATTTCACTACTTCTAATGAGGCTGGTGGCATACCTTGCCACAATACCATCTGATCATTAACCACTGGCATTAGAGGAGGCCATTCAGTCCTGGGCAAGTCCGTGCCCTTTAGTTTAACTACTACACACATACCCATCTCCCTTTCGTTCTTCAGAAATGACAGGTGTTTTGAAAAAGGCAGTTTGGTCATTCACAGCAAGTAATAACAGGTGGTTTATAATGAATGAAGATAATTATTGAGATCTACTCTCTATTAAGCTTATTGCAAGCCCCAGCTGTTTCTCTTAGGGAACTGGAACTGGCTCCTGAAACACTCCGCTGGCATGGCACCTTCCCTCCCCCAGCCACTTGCTCACTTGCTGCCTTTCGCAGACCTCACGAGGCAGGGGTAGAGTGTCACCAGGATCCTCGTGTCTGAGAGTAGGGAAGTGGTTTGTTACCCTGGCATCTTTTTGCATGCATTTGAAGAGAGATATCAGGAAGCCAGAAATACTGCAAGTTTATAGATTAGTGCTAGACACAGAGCATGCTCCATGGGTTATTTCTAGGAAGACGAAGAGATTCTGTGTCTTATATTTTAAAAAAAAAAAAAAAACAAAAACCAGCATCTCACTTCATCCTGCTCAGTCCAGTGGTTTGACCCCAGTGCTTCTGCTGTTTGCTGGTGAAAACTAGCCAAGATGCAAGGTGGTGGCTGGAACACATGGCAGAGGCTGAGTAATTCAGTCACCTAAAGACCATCTGAAGAATAATTCCCTTGGAAGTAGGTGTCTGTCGCCAGAATTCTAGAATTCTGCTGGGTCTCAGTGATGTAGTTGTTTTATGAACATAGTAGGAAAGGCAGCGTCCCTTCCATCTGTCCTCATCTGTCTTGCCCAGTTATTGGGAGAAAATAACTCCTGTCTGTGACAGCAGTCTGTGGCATAGTCCTCTGTCTTGCCCTTGCTGGTAGCAGGTGTGGACAAGGCCTGCGGGCCTTTGGAGGAGGTGAGTTTGGTTATTAGATGTCATGTGGCTCCAGGCCCATGGCCACTTCCCTGGAAACCTAGGGCCCAAGACACTTCCAAGTGTACTCTCATGCTTCCTGTTGAATCCTTGAGGGAAAACCCAGAAGCTGAGCAGTGCTGCGTTTGGGCTTCTGGGTGAGAGGGTCTGAGCAGACTACCCCTTTGGTTATCACACCATTGTCCATGTAAGGGGCAGGTTCAGTTCTGTTGCTGTCCACTTAGAAGAGCTTCTGACTCTTCATTTTATATAAAGCAGACGACAGGGTGAAGAGTAGTTGTCTCATATGGTTTTACAGTTGGTTTTCAGGGGGAGAGAAAAGGCCTTATTTGCTGATTTCTGTGGTTTAAATACCCACATCCTTCTCAGCAGATTTAGGCTACCAACATAAAATACTCGGCACAGAGATGCGAAAGGGACATGCGCAGTTATCGGCTGACTCCAGCACACCCCTGCTGCATCCCCTCTATGTCTGTAAGGCCTGCAGCTGCCAGGAAACAGACACAGAACAGAGAGGACCAGAGATGGGCAGGAGTTCACAGCCAAGTGAGATTTATTATCAAAGAGAAAAATACACCGAGGGTGACCGACTGCCTGTGTAGATGGAGTGACTACATGGCAGGGGCCCAGTCTTCCAGCAGGCTGGGTTTTTTTTATAGTTTGGGGCCTTTGAGGGGTGTTCCTAGGTATGGGGGAATTCCAAGAAAATGGAGGAATGAGCCAGGACCCAAGACATTTCAACTTTTAGTAGGTTTTGTTCCCTGGGGACAAGCAAATGCAGAGACTGGGGTGGGGGCAGGTTAGAATGGCCTTTGGAAATGCTGTGTAAGTTAAGCTGCTGGTGGCCGATTCCCTGTTTGGTATCCCAGGGCATAAGGCACAAACTTGTGTTCTTGCCCCCTTCAGTTATTGTCTGTTGTCCAGGGTACAGCCTGTATAACTCCTGTTGGCAGCGCTCCTCGCCGCCACCTTCCCCACAGACCTATTCTGACCACATCAGTGTTTCCTGAATTCCCACGCTCAGATTGGGATGGGACCAGCAAAAATTGGCACACTGGGGACCAACCCAGATGCTGTGCCATTGTGCACCTCTGCTCTGGCAGTCAAATCTTTGCTCTTTTTTTTTCCCCCTTTAAAAAAATTTTTTTTTATTGAAAAAGTATATTTAGAGAGAAGGAGAGATAAAGATCTTTCATCTGTTGGTTCATTCTCCATGTGATCACAACAGCTGGAGCTGAGCCAATCCAAAGCCAGGAGTCAGGAGCTTCTTCTGGGTCTCCCATGCAAGTGCAGGGTCCCAAGACTTTGGGCCATCCTCTACTGCTTTCCCAGGCCACAGCAGGGAGCTGGATGGGAAGTGGAGCAACCAGGATACGAACCTGTGTCCATATGGGATGCTGGCATGTGCAAGGGGAGGACTTTCGCTATACTAGTCTGCTGTGCCGGGCCAAAATCCCTGCTTTTAGTTCTTAGTCAGGCATCTGGGCAAATCCTTCCTCATTCCCATTCCTTTGTTGAGATGGGGGCTGGAGGCCAGTCCTGGGAAGGAATGCTGAGGAACACAGGACTTCAGGGACACAGGACCCTGCCACCTGACTTCCTGAGGCCCCATGTGCTCCTCTTGGGCCTGCTGTGAATGGGGGGATTCTGCCACGTGGGCTGTTGAGGCTTTAATGGAATAGGGAGAGAGACAACTCAAGCAGGCACGCTGGGACCTGGGTCCTCCCAAGGTGTGCCCACCCAGCGCCAGGTGTTTTTCCAGATGTCTGCTAGCCACTTCTCTGGTCAGTCACATGCTGCTGGACTTCCATGGCCCCCCAGGATCCATTACACCTCTGTGTCGGTGGGTTCCCTTGATACGGGCAATAGAAGCTAAAGCTGAGGAGACAAGCGTTCTGCTAGAACACCTGTTTAGGGAGAGTGAAGATAGGGATTGGGCTGGGTGTAAAGTAGAATCTTCAAGTGTTGCTGCTGACACTCGCCCTCTTTCTCTCTTGCAGTAGTATTTTGCCTTTGAGTAACTGTCCCCAGCTCCAGTGCTGCAGGCACATTGTTCCAGGGCCTCTGTGGTGCTCCTGATGCCCCTCACCCACTGTCGAAGATCCCCGGTGGGCGAGGGGGTGGCAGGGATCCTTCTCTCTCAGCTCTAATATATAAGGTAAGGAGGACCCTGCGACCCAGGGCCCCCTGGGGCTGTGCTCAAGGCCTGGTGTTGGGGAGGGACCTGGAGGGAGTCTGAATTAAGGCTGCTAAATGGCTCTTCTGAGGACGGGAGCAACACTTCTTTGCTACCTGCTCACTGATGTGGTTGGAGCCCACAGTTGGTTTCAGGTTTCCTTAAGCCTAGGATGGAAGGTTAGCCAGCAAGCTAAAACTGGAGCCCTGGAGACTGCAGTGGGCTCCACCTTCCACCAGGGACAGGCCTGGGTTATTGAGACTCCAGCCACACACATTTTCTCATTTGTGCTTCATGGGGAAGAAAAAGGCGTTTTGGGAAAAGCATGGGCTTCCGAGTCGGTGCCGGGCAGGGGGGCTAGTGATGGACCCTCAACTCTGCAGCTGACCCGTGGAGCCTTGAGCCAGCTGCTTATGGCAGGGGCCTTGCTGTCTGGTTTTTAAAATGGAGCTAATGCTCCAGGGCTCGGCATGGGGCTGGTGGGGTGGACAGCCCCTGCATCAGCAGAGCTTAGTATCCTGCTAACCTGAGATTGGCCCGAGAGGCCGCCTCGTGCCACTTCAGTTAGGGAGCGGGTGGTGGTGGTGGCTGGAAGCAGCAGGGGGACTGATCTGCTGTCTTGCTTCCCTTTCCAGGACGAGAAGCTCACTGTGACCCAGGACCTCCCTGTGAACGATGGAAAGCCTCACATCGTCCACTTCCGGTATGAGGTCACCGAAGTGAAAGTCTCTTCCTGGGATGCAGTCCTGTCCAGCCAGAGTCTGTTTGTCGAGATCCCAGATGGATTATTAGCTGATGGGAGCAAAGAAGGGTAAGGAGCACACGTGGAAGGAGAGGCCGCTGCAGAGGAGGGTCTGGGCTGATTGGGGATTTGGAGGGGACTCGCTCTCAGCAGCAGACTGCCCAGGCGGCCAGCAGTGTGGAACACATAGGTTAGAGTCACAGCACAACACTGTCACAGTAACCAGAATCCTGACACTGCATCATCCTGTAGTGCCCAATTTCCAGGTTTCTGTTGGGTCCTGCAGTGGTGCAGCTCCAAAGCCGAGAGAGGGAGGGATGGCCAACGGATCAGGCAGGACCCTTTGGGCAGCCCTGTGTGTGTGTGTGTGTGTGTGTGTGTGTGTGTGTGTGTAGTTCTCTGCAGTGGCCCTGTGTGTGTGTGTGTGTGTGTGTGTAGTTCTCTGCACTGGCCCCAAGCTCAGGAGCATGCAGGTCCAGGGTGTCCCTCTCTGTGGCAGGTGATCTTGGAGGATCAGTTTCTATGCTCTGCACTATCTTTGAGCTGTATTACTTCAGATAGTGTTGGAACACTCAGTATATTTTACAGAGTGAAGTGTTGCCCAGTACTAGAATGAAAACAATGCCAAGTAAGAGTGTTAAACGGAGACAGTGTTATTTTTAGACGAAGAACCTAAGATTCCTTGTCAGCAGTGGATTCCATCTTCCCCTAACTCCTGGGGTCTCCCCAGAACATCTGATACTGCTGGCTGTTAGCCCCAGAACAGCCTGGGTTTTTTTTTGCCTCCAGGGGTTAGGGTGGGAGTGGGCCCAGGGGTAGGGCCAGGGAGGTGATGGCTGAGTAGTTTGTGCTCCCCACAGATTGTTAGCACTGCTCGAGTTTGCTGAAGAGAAGATGAAAGTGAACTATGTCTTCATCTGCTTCAGGAAGGGCCGTGAAGACAGAGGTGAGGAGCACTGGGGGCTGGGGAGGATGGGGCGGGCTGTGGTGCAGCTACACGGGATGGTACAGGCCACCTCCAGCTTCCTGGGGCCTTCATCAGGGCTGGTTCCATTCTGTTCTCATCGGAACCTTTTTTTATCTTCTTTCCTCTGCAGCTCCACTCCTGAAGACCTTTAGCTTCTTGGGCTTTGAGATTGTACGTCCAGGCCATCCCTGTGTCCCCTCTCGGCCAGATGTGATGTTCATGGTTTACCCTCTGGACCAGAACTTGTCCGAAGAGGACTAGTGGGGATGCTTTGCCCAAGAGCACCAGTGGGGGATGAGGGGGTAGTTAGGCAGCCCTGGGGCAGAGCGGAGGCCTCCCCACTGTTGGGCAGGACGCTGAGGGGCTCGGGGTGAGGGCTGCCGCCTGTGTCCTCGGGATTGACGCGTTGAAGTTGTTTCCCATAAAGAACAGTATAAACATATTATTCACATGTAATCACCAATAGTAAATGAAGATGTTTATGAACTGGCATTAGAAGCTTTTTAACTGCGCTGTGTGTGCTCTATCTAGCCTAGGGGAGGACTTTGCCTAGCTGGGGAGGGAGTGCCAGGGGCCAGACCTGGAGGGTCGCTGGCCAGGACTGGCAGCCTCAGGTGCCCCTCCTGCTGTTATGGTGGTGTTTGGTTTTTAAGACTTACTTGTTTTCTTTCTTTGCTTTTTGTTGCCCCAGGGGCTCCTGAGTGTAGGCTTTCCCTGCCCCTGGGCAGTATCCCGGAGCTGTTTCCTGACCTGCCTGGGCTTCTCTGTGCAGTTTGTCTGGCCTGGAGCAAGTGGGTCTGACCACCCCTTCTTTTCAGCTTAGTGTTATTCTGGCATTTGGTTAAGCCGGCTTAATCTGTTCCATGTTATCAGTGCATTTGAAATAGAGGCGTTGAAGTTCACCTCCCCAACCAGGGTTTTTTTTAGATGTCTGGGACTTATAAAACACTAGCCAAACTCCAGTTCTTACATCACCACCACAAGTTCTTGCTCCTGTGCCAGGGTCACGACGAGCAGAACAGAGGAAGAGGAGCAACTCAGGGCCTGGGGATTGTGGGGGGGAACATGTTGCTAGGGCCTGACTGCCTCTGGCTGGCTGAGCGCCATGCCGGCTGCCTCCCCAGTTGGGCTGTGAGTAGTGCCTGCGACCTGGGCTTGCAGAAGTGGGCCACCCTTTACTGTTTTCACCCAACAGCTTGTTCTAAGGGGAGAGGAAGGGGGAGAGCTCTAGTTTGGGCCGGGGTGGGGGTGTCAGGGAGGCCAGTGTGTTGTGTTAACTGTGTCAATAAACTGATTTAAAGTTGTGGTGGTTCTGTTCTTTATTACTCCCAAATTGGGACCAACTTCCTCTCACTAATGTTTTTCAAGTCCAGAGCCTAGCTTATTAGGATGTGGGCCCTCACTCAGCCCTGAGGAAAACACGGGAGCCTGGCAATGCAGAAGAACTTTCAGGTTACAATCCCTGGGGCTGCTTTACACTAAGACCAAGAGGGGTTGCTAGGAGTCTGGGATACATCGCCAGAGCCCCAGGAGAGACAGTGTGTACAAACAGCTTTCTTTGGACCAGAGACTAGCCAGCAGTGAAAGCATTCTTACCTGTTGCATCTAGAGGGTTCGGCCATCCAGGAGCTCCCATCTTCTGTTTTTTTTTTTTTTTTTTCCTTTTGGAGCCAGTGTCCCTGTGACATCAGCCTGAAGACTCACCTCTCTCTGGCACTAGCTAGTATTTTCCCTTTTCCAAGTGAAGGGCATATTTTTCTACCTCTTACAGCTTTCCGGACATTGCCTGTTGGCTTTTGATCTGTCTCCAGGTCTTTGGCCTACTGTCACGTGTTTTCTCATGGCGTTTGTCTTTACCGTGGTGAAAGATGTGAGTGCAACACCCTGACTCCATGGATACCTGTGGGCTAAAGATACGCAGGTGAACTTGCACGGTCTGGCCACTGGCTTCAAAGTAGTTTAGGATGGCTCAAATGCCGGGGTTTTTGCATCCGTGTGGGACATCCCAGGGAAGCTCCCGATTTCCACTTGACCCAATTGACTGGCAATTGTCATCTAGGGAGTGAATCGGCAAAAAGATTTCTTTCACTGTCTCCCCTTCCCTCTCTAACTCTGAAGTAATACATATATCTTAAACAAAACTCAATCCTTTCTCCCCAAACCCTGAGTGGATGAGAAACATGCCTGAGGCTCTGCTGCCATCTGCTGGTGGTTCCTCTTCAGTAGAGCAGGAGTTGAATGAGACGCTGCGTCCCCAGTCTTCCCTCTCCAAAACCTTTCTCTGTTGAAGGCCGGCCGGCAGGAAGGCATACCCAAATACCCAGAGGCTGCACTCCAACTAAAAAGCAACTCAATATTTTATGGGGCAGAGGGGTGGAGCTGGACAGGAGAGGTACGTGAAAGGCAAACTAAATCTAAAATTTAAGAACAGGGACATTAAAAACTTTATTCAATAAATACAGCAAATAATTTAAAAATATACTTCAATTCCAAAGCCAATTAAGAAAAGGAGTAGTGAGAAAGGGAAACACAGACAAGGAAAGGAGAGGCTGAACAATGGTCGGGCTTTTCAGAATGTACTGCCCTTTGAAATTCTGGTAATTCTGATCAAATGCTCTTGACCCATTAACCCTTAGCCCTTGTTTTCATGGGGTCACTCCAGTAGCCTACCAACTCCAAATGCTCAATCCCCCCGGGCACTCGGGAGGCTGTTTCCTGCTCATCCTCATCTGCCAGGCAGGTTTCAATAGTGCAAACTCTTGGGCAGAGAGCTCCCAGCTGCATAGTTTCACAGGTGTGTCCAAAGCCAGGGCCTCTGGGAGATGGGTCCCAGAGCTGCCAAGGGTCCTAAGCCACTTTGGTGAATGGGATCTAAAGGTGAGGAGAGGTCAGGTCACAGGGTCAAGCTCCTGGACTAAGCCAGAAAACTGGTGGGCAGGAAAGGGCTACAGGGCAGTAGTCGGGCCTCGCTGTTAGCCAGGGGGGTAAGCGAGGACGTGTGTGGAGCGAGCCCGGGGAAGTCTGGGAGCTTGGGAGGAAGAAGAGTTGGGGAGAAGGAGGTGGCAGCTCAGCAGCAAACTTCAGGAGAAATAACCAGCAGCCCTCACAGATTTTTGATTGTCTCTTAAAAAGATTTATTTTCTCTTCTTGCCTGAATGTACAAAGGCAAAAAGAGTACAGTTTGTATATATATATATTTATATATATATATAAAAAAACAAGGAACTTGGTAATGTACACTTTACAGAAGGGAAGAATCAGGAAGACTGAAATGAAATCCAACAGAGCAACACCAATGGAACAAAAGCTATGAACAACACTGCCCCTCCAGCCCGGGCCTCCAGCTCGCCCCAACCTGCTCCCAGTGGGAGGGCTGAGCACCAAGGCAAGCGGGTGGGCTGGGGCAGGAGGGGCTGGGGACAGGGTCTGGGAGGGGCTTGATCCCAGGGGGCCCACCCAGGGGGTCATTGGAAAGCTTGCTGGGATGCCCTGGTAATAAAACAATACAGCCCCAGAATTAGGGGGCCAGCTAGCTGCCCAGTTAACTTGGGGGCATCAGAGTAGACATGTGGGTGGTGAAAAGGGTATGTGGGTTAGTAAGTGACAAGGGTGGCCTCAATGCCCATGTGTAAGAATTCTCTAGCCCTTCTGCACCCTTATCTCCTAACTCCCTAGATAAGTCCTCCCTCCCCTTTACTCTGGAACCTGGAGAGAAGAGACTGAAGAAATCACTACTGGATTTCACAGGGTCACCTCTTACCCTTCTCTGTGGGTCTTTTAATCTTGAGGTGTTTGGAGAGAAGGGGGAAGGGACATTTCATAACTATACATTGCCATGTGCGAGGCAGGGGAAGGGGACCAGAGGAACTGGCGCACCTTCAGTGAGGGCCAAGTTGCCATGAATCCGGAAAAGCGCCGATCCGGGCCTTGGCAATCTCACCTGGGGGTGAGGCTACTTTTCCTTAGCCGCTTCTCCCTGGGGAGCCCGGGGAGCAGCAGGTGTGGCTTGGAGAGAGGCTGGGTCTGGTGGTCTGGGCCCTTAGCAGCAAATCTGTGCAGAGCTGGCTCATGGGGCAGGGAGCCCTGGTGAATGCCCCATGACTCTGGTGACTGGGTAGGTGTAAGGTGCCACAGAGAGAGCCTGGGAGAGTATGGCCAATCTCAGAAATCATCTAGGATCCCCGGAGTGCTGCGATCCCAGGGAAAGGCAGGGATCAGGGGCTGGAAGGCAGTGCCAACTCTGCCGCTGTGGCTTCTGCCTGCCCTATTGCGAGACTTAGACATAAGGATCAAAGAGCCAGATGGTTTTTAAAGGGGAAAAAAAAGATAAAAGCTGTCCCTTCTGCAGAACCCAAGGCTGCCCTTGCTAATACAGAAGTTCCTCCTCTCTGTGTTACAGAATGAAGTGGAAAGGGCAGGAAGGTGGGACTACCCCTGCCCAGCAAGAAAGACCATTTCCTCCAACAGTTTCTTTCTTTACAGTATGTACAGAGCACACCTTAGACCAGTGCCACAGATAATACAAAACACACAGCATTATCTAAAAACAAACGGCAACATAGCTGGGCCTTTGTCTCCGCCCCGGAGCAGCCTGGGGTTCACTGGACCGAATTCAGCTACCCTCTCGGCGGGGGCTGACTCAGGTGAGGTGAGGTGAAGGTGTCCACACCTGCCACTTCCTTGGATGAAAGGAAGTCACTGCTCAGCACTGCCCACGGGGGGCAGCAGGCAGAGGGGCCGATGGCATGTCGGGGGAGAGGTCTAAAACAATGGGTTGTCTGGGAGGATTCAGAACATGACTCAAACGAGAACAAGGACCCGGAAGCCTAGGGTAAGGGCTGTGGGCAAGAGGGGTTCCCCTTGGAAAAAACGTCCCTAGGCTTCTCTATGAGTAGGGTCAGGGGTCTTAGGAGCCACCCTCTCCTGGGCATTGTGCTTACTGTCCCCCAGCACACTGTTCTCCAGAATGAAGGGGAGTCGAGCTCCTCGTCACTTTTGGCTGTCTGCTCATGAAAACACCCTTCAGCTTGGGCTCGGGTCTGTGGTCATTCTTGGTCTGTCTTAATCAGAGGGTCAGGAAGACAAGAGGAGAAAAAAGGGCCGAGTCCTCTAACGTGCAAGAGGAGCAAGGGCTGCTCATCCTGGGGAGGAAGCGACTCCAGGACACAGGCGACAAGCTGGGACTGGGATACTGTGTTTTGGAGGGCGGAGAACTGCTTGCCACCCCAAGCTCAGTATGCCACGCCATGCCACACCACGCTACGAGCAGTGCTTGGAGGATGCGTTCCCAGACCTAAGGAATAGATAACCTCCTAGGGCCAGTGGCCCTTATACCAAACACGTGTGTTAAAACACAGCTTATATCGGCACATATAGAGGTTACAGACTGGGCTATATAAAACGTATTTATGGACAGGAATTGGATTACATATGTGTATATATATGTATCTGCGGCCCTAAATGAGGAAGACACTCAGAGGGTGGAATGGACAGGACATCACCAAGGACCACTGTGGGCAGGCAGGGCCTGTCTCCTGGGCCTTGCCCTCCAGTGACCAAGCAGACTGAGGTTCCCCGTGCTGGCGGGGAGGAAAGACTAGTTTACCTGCCTGAGTCTTAAGGGCTGAGCAACAGAAAAGAAGAGGTGAGAGCAGTGTGGGTATCTCCCTGGAAGAGGCATCCAGGGATGAAGAGAAAGGAGAAAGGGGCCATGAGTTGGGGTAAGAAGCAGCAGGACCGGGGGTGGGGGGCTGGGGGGGTGCAGGTTCCGTTTCACAGCCTCCACGCTCCAGTGCCATGCTGCGGCCGGAGCCCCTGCCCTCTGCCTGACAGGGAGAGGCAGCCCGAGGCCAGGGTGGGCGAGGGCCCCGGTTGGCCTTCCCAGGCCAGGCTCTGAGCGCTTCTGTGTGCTCATGTGAGAGGGAGATTTCTCCAGGTTCAAAGACCTTGTTTTCACAATAGGGAAAACAATCCCCCCATTTCTTTCCTGAGATTCTAATTCCTCCACTTGCTGCCAATGCCCAGGGCCCACACCCCTGGGGAGCTGCAGGAACTGGGGATGGTGGTGATGACGGGGAGTGGGGTATGGCTGCTGTGCTGTCTTCAGCCCTTACCCAGTGCTTGCAGGACCCTCCTTGGGCTGGGGCCAGGGAGCACTGCCCTGGCAGCAGACCAGGGGCTAGGGGAACAGAGCAGTGACTTTCTCTGGGCTGAGGCCGTGCTCCCCTGGCTGCTCCCTGTGCCATCATCTCCACGGAGGCCACGACAGTCTTGGTTGTGGCCCAGAGAATAAATATTTTCGCTA